GCTAACATGGGGTTAGTTCGTTAAATTACAATAAAGCCTCATGCAGTTTGCAGCAAGCTCTCGAATCCGCCTGGTGATTGGGGTGACCGCGAACCTGGCCTGAGACCCCGGATACTTGAGTTTTCGGGGGTCTAACAGTCTCAAATGATGGGATTTCTCGTGTGTGCAACCTTAGGCAAATATCTAAGCAGCTCCGTGCCTCAGTTGCTTCATCAGTAATAATAACATTTAAAACCCGGTTTCTAGTGAGAGTAAAAAGAAGTGGTGCAGGCAAAGCCTTTAAAGCAGTGATAGACACTCAGTAGGGCTATAACGTTTTGTTTTCTTGTGGAGAGGGTACGTGGTGTGTGTATGCGCACATGCAATGCGTGAGCACACATGAACATATGTACAGTGGATGAGGGCTGTAGGGTGTTGTTTGTGAGAATGATATGATCACAGATGTGCGTGCATGCGTGTCTGGAAAGAAGTACAGATGAACTTGGAGTCTGTATGACCTGTGTGTTTCTGAGAAGATGTATGTCTGAGGCTGCGGTGTAAGTCTTGTGTGGCTCCATACAGGTTTGTGGCACTGTCTTTCTGTGAGGGGGGTTTCACTCTCACTGGTAGGCTTTGCTTCCACGTTACCCTGTCTTCTCTCTCCTCTTCTTGAAACCCTTTCAGCTTGGCTGGGGGTGGTGGCGGCTCTCCCCGCTCCACATCTCTCTCCCCATCTCCCTCCCCTACCTGAACCAGCCTGAACCAGCCTGGAATGCTGGGCCCTTTCAGACACCTGGGGTTGGGACATACTGAGGTGAAGATCTCAGTAAGGCTGAGTGAATAGAAGCTGTTGTGGGACAGGCCAACTGCCATAGCTTGTCTCACAGATCACCACATATGTGTTACCCCTTCACCTCAACACACATAGGAGAATGATTTTGGTGAAGGGTGGGACAAGCCAAGATGTAGTTTGGAACTCTCAGGTGACTGAACCAGACACCAGCAACCAGACCTATTAGATCCAGGAAGGAGGGCTTCCTGGAAGAGGTGAGTGTCCTGGTAAAAAGAACAGGACCTGACACCATGGGGAAACTGGGTGGAAGCCGTGATCTTCAGACCCCCAGTGGAGGACCCTCGCTGGCCCTAGGCTGGCCCCACCTTACAACAACTGCTCTGTCATGTCTTAGGAAACCAGCATTCTCGCCAGGCAGTTCCTCTGTAAGTTGAGTTTTGCAACAGTGGAGTTTTTCGGCAGGGGGTGTGGGGGGGAGGGATGAGGTGGGGTGATGACCCTTGCTCAATGACCTTCCTGTGGAGTTTCTCAGAGGCCAGAGCTGCTGGGGAAAGTTTGGATTGCTCAAAGCTCTTCAAGAGACTATGGTGGTCCCAGCTTCTGACTGGGACCCTCCCTGATCTGTCACTTTCATTCTGGCACCAGAGGGGAACAGAACATAGGTCTGCTGGGACTTGCCCAGGCTGAGGGCAGAGGCGGGGTTCTTGGGAAAGGCTCATTTTTAGGCAAGCATAACAGAGGTCCTTCGAGCCAAGCATGAATTATTTGATAGTGCTCAAGTTTGAGAAATGAGTCTGGATACAGCTATGATTGTGGAGTGTGCAAACCTGAGAAGCATCCGGATATACATGTGCATAAATGTGTGTGCACATATACACATATGTGGACCGGGCAGTGGTGGCGAATACCTTTAATCCCAGCATTTGGGAGGCAGAGGTAGGTGTATCTCCAAAAGTTCAAGGCCAACCTGGTCTACAGAGCAAGTTCTAGGACAGCCAGAGCTACACAGAGAAACCCTATCCGGAAAAATCTAATAATAATAATAATAATAATAATAATGCACATATGTATGGTTCAGATATGTGTGTGTTATTGTGCACCAGAGCTCATTTGAGGGTGTGAGGGTGTGCAGTGATGTTGACAAGGACACTCAAGCGTACGCTGTGATGATGTATGGCCTGTGTGTGTCTCTTTGCCACATCTCAGGTAGGACTAAGTGTGCACTGGTGCTGTGTCCTATGTGGAGATGGATAAGCAGGTGTTCCAGGAGTGGTGGGAGAGAAGAAGGTAGAAGTCACGATGGGACAGAACACAGGCTTTCTGGCTTCCTGAAGAGGGTAGGATCTGGGCAGCAGGCTGGCAGAAATACTGGCAAGGTCTTCATCTTTCATGTTCTTCTGTCTCGCCCTCAGGTTTCCTGCACCTTCCAGGGACCATGCATCAGTCCTACTGACCCCGGAATAGGGGCCTGTGGGGTGAGTAGGGTGTGGAGTATGCTGAAGCTTTCAGGGTCAGGGAACAGGGTTGGGTGGCTTTCCTGGGCCCCACAATGCCTGCTTCACAGCCCCCTCCTCCTACAAGGGCCCTGTTGCTAGGAAACCGATAGAGGAGCCAGAATGAGGCAGCTTGAGAGGCTGGAGGCTGGACTCATGACAGGAAATGGCCTTGATCCCCCTCTGCAGGGAATCTCCAGGTGCAGGCACACTGCCCTCATACATTCACAAACATGTGCAGCTTTACAGATGTGAATTGCAAAGCACACACATGCATGCACACACACACACACACACTGAGAGGCACATATACTTCCACACAGAGCTTTGTACAGTCACAGTCACACAGATCTGCCTGTACACACACACACACACACACACACACACACAGAGAGAGAGAGAGAGACAGAGCGC